AATAAGCATAAGTACATAAAGCTAATGAGTGGCTATTAAACATTAAATTAGGCAATGTATAAATTTTTATTTCATATGTCACCTAAATATCGCCCAGTAGAGAAACCTTAACCATTGAGATCTCATACGCTGACGATTGTGCGATATAGGCATCTGGCAATGTCATTGACCACTTCTGTTCCTTTGCTCTGATTCAGCGCGATTCTTCATAGTAAGGAGTCTAAACTTCTTCCCCACGGAAAGCAACGAGAGCACCCAGTCAGAAACCGTTTGGAAGCGTAATCGCTACGTACAGTCGTCAACTACATTAACCGAAATTTTATCACCACCATTACTAACCCAGTATAAGCCCTATTGCCTACTACTTAAACAATGTTAAGGACGCACTCCTTGATTTGAATACTGCATTGAAATCAGGGCTCGAATCGTCGATACATACGATATCGTACTAGTCGTCACGTAAAAACACATTTTTCGGATTATGACATACGTGAACGTACTCTTTATCCCATTCAGCTTGAACGGCTGACGTATCACGTAATTTTCTTTCGTATGATTTTCGATCCGTGAACGGTTTGTGTTACGATTTGGAGCCCAGGCTATTAACATAGCTTCGTCAATTTATAGAGTATACTTACTATTTTATAAATACTATACTTGTCATAACTCTAAAATATACATATTTATTCGATCCACAAATATTTTTCACCCACTTGTTTGTAGCGTGTAGTTGTAGAAGTCCTCGTTGAATTCCTTCACAAAAGTACCAGTGAAAGCGCGTTGCACATACAAATGACGACGCACTGGTACAGTCATCTTTTTGCCTCGATACCGTTTATAGATCAACAAGAGATCGAGTATTAAATCTTGTCCATGCAGAGGATTCAGTCGATTGTAGCCGTAAAGTAGTTCCCGAAATTCAATAACGCGACCCCTTTGTCGGGAATAATTATTTATATTCTCCATAACTTCTGTGATAACGTCTTCGAGGCCCTCGCGCAACGCCGAATCGATTTTGTGCTTTGGGTTCGCATTTTCACTGGAGTAGAGACTTCGAGCAATGAACGACCATTCGAGGAGATCAGCTGTTGACGAAGGCCTGGATTTCTTCAGATCCGGAGCAATGCCTATGCAAAGGCAAGTATTATACATTTGCCTTCTTTTTTTTAATTATGTATGTGTGGATGGGGTCTCACCTAAAATGTTATGATCTTCGTAGTGCTGATCGCTGTTAGTCTTTTCGGGTATTAACTCAATGCCGGGTACCAAATACTTGCTATCGCTCGGTATTTCCAAAAAACTAGCCATACGCTTAATATCTCGATGTAACTCGAGTGACTCTTGCCGCATTTCCTCTGCTTTAAGGCCCTAAAATGAGCAAATATTCGTTACAGAACTATCCAATTCTCTAAGTCTCCTAAGTTCAAGACCACCTGTACGAAGGAATGCAGGCGATACATCAGCGGTGATTGCTTGATCGGATGAAGAGAGATAGCATTGTGTATTTCCTTACGTTTTAATTTACCAGTGAATGCGTATGGACCGCTTGAGTTATGTCTCAGAATATATTGCATCTGAAAAAAGAAAAAATGAACAAAGAAAAAGTTATTGTATAGAAAATATAAAAATACAATCATTTGGCCCTTTCGGTTTTCTTTTTTGAATTTCGAGTTAAGTACATCACTAAATATTACCTCATAATTCCAGGTACACGGTATGCCAGCAAATTTTTGCACGCAACGTCCCACCTCCACGTCTTCATGTGTGCTATACAGATTCTTCAAGCATGTAGGTATGTGCGGAGCAACTACATATAAAGTCAATATATCGTACACCATTCACTTTGTAACTTAAACTGCTAGTTTAAGAATGCAGAACTCACCTCGGCGCAGGGTCTCGCTACTCAATATTACACCAGGTCCGCCCATGCAAAAATTTTCATCAAACTCCAGCGATAGTAGGCCAAACTCTTCACTATTGCCCTTAC